TGTTGTGGATTCACTCTTCAATACAGCGGCGGGCTAAAGTAGTGAACTATTTTGTCTTCTGTCAACGTGACACTTTTTTGCTGATTGGCCGTGTCGGGTGGTGGAGGGTTACGACACGTTTATAAATAACGCGATCTAACCCAGAAACCTATATTATGAATAATAATCAGTTGGCTGCAAATAAATGCTCGATTCCGGCAATGGCGACCATCATGTTGGGGGAGTTATTTTCTGACGAGCCGAGAGCCGCTCTTGTTTCAGCTGCACGGCTCTTGGATTCGTTTTTTTTCTTTCCCAAAAGTATTTTATTATTGACAAGACGAGGTCAGGTACGCAGCGCAGAGGATATGAAAGTGGGTTGACACCAGCACAAACCGCACATTATGGAAACCCGTCTTAAACCGCGTGTTCCAATAAACCGTTCCAATAAACTCGACAACCCACCTGGTGTCTTCCTAAGCTCTGATACCCCTGTAGGAGAAGACGAAAAAAGAGAGGGGGGGTGGAAAAGTGTGGGGGGGGGGGAGGGGGGAGTGCCTAAATGCCCTCATGAATGCTCTTAAGAATCAATGCCCACTGGAGGAGAGGTAGTGCGGGTGTCTGGCTGGGATTTAATTCGTTGAGAAATCACGTCTTCGCTTCGAGCTGCGTCGAGGCGCGATGCTCGTTTGGCACGCGACGAGCGATCCGCCCTGCCCTATCCCGCGGAAACGTTTGACGGAGAGGAGGAGTAAGTCGGAGCAGAATCTGACGGTTAAAGATGCATCGTCACGAGCCGCCATCAATTCAGCCATGATCAATCCACAGCTGGACGAAGGCCCTCCCCCCCGACCTGTCGCCATTTCTCACGACCCCGCGATGTAATGGTGATAATAATAATCCGCCCGGTGTCTGCACGTGAGAGCGAAAAATTCCGTCGCTCCATCTCCGCCGCACCTTGGGGACCGCGTTCCGTTCCTTGGCTGCCACTCTGTCACGATGGTCCTCCCGCGTAGCGACGTGGACCGCCCAAGCCCACTCACTTTACCCTACGGCTTGAGCGGAGTCAATAACCCGAGTTCGCTCTCCAATGATCTCATTCATAACAGTACATACAGGCTGCTTCGAAAAAATGTTTAAAAAAAAAAAACTTATAGGGGACTATCGTTTTTAATGGAAAAAAGAGGATCACACACTGTAACATTTTGTTAACACATGTAATGTTAATAGCTTCAAAAACTCAAAGAGTCTCCCTCCACTTGTTTCGCCATCGTTGTCAACACGTGGCCTGGAATCTTCTCCAGGTGGTCTCCAGAGCCCGGAGGCAGCAGCACATTTCTTGCGGTATTGTTGCAAGTTCTCGTCGGTGTTAACATTTTTTTGAAGCACCCTGTGTGTGTGTATATGAAAAACCAATTAAAAAAATATCGAATCGAATTTGAATTGCAACGATTTGTGGGCTCACCAAAAAGATGAACTCGTTACAACGGCGGGGATGGCGCAGCTCTAACACTCGCGCCTCGCAGCCAAAAGAGCTTGGGTTCGATTCCCGACTCGGGTGCCTCTCTGTGTAGCGTCAGTATGTTCTCCTCCTGTTCTGCGTGGGTATCCTCCCACAGATAAATAAATAAATAACTTGACTGGTATTCGCCAAATATCTCAAAACTTGCAAATTACGCAATGGGGATCGCACAAAGCCGTGACGTTGCAGCCCCTAAAATCTAAAACTTGACAGGAAGATCGCTGAAACAAAATTAAAAAAAAACGTTTCTGTACGTTGAACTTCTTTCGCACCGCCGTACGTAGCCAACCGTGCTAATCGGGGGTGCGGCGTGGGAGGGACGAAAAAAGCAGTTCAATATGTTGAGACTCGGTGAGACTTTCCTGGGCAAAACAGCCGACTAAAAATCATCGTATTGTAAAATAATACAACACGGTTCTAAATGACACTAACTGCCGAAGCACAAAAGCGCTATTTTCTCCAAATGTTCATAACTGGTGGGGGGGGGGGGGCGGGGGGAGGGTGAGGGGGGGAACAGGATCTGGAATGCGAAGATCTCAGTGTGGCGAACTGCCTTGCTTTCTCAATGCCAATTCCAATCTCCGGCACATTTTCTCCAGCCATGAATCTCGTTTGCTAGTTGCTTTCATATTGCGTGTCACAGATTAGTTTCACATGATTTACTGCACGTGCCTCGCAATTTATTCGCAATCTATGGGACAGTGAAAAATACGTGTAATATACATTAACCAATGTGTGCGTGTGTGTGTGTGCGCCCGTGATATACTGTGGGAGCAGACAGCTTAACGGTTAGCGCGCTGCGCTATGCACCAGACCCGGCAAGTTCAATTCCCGCTTACGGCCGTCAACACCAGTGACGATTATCTGATCAGGTCCTGGGCCTCCCCTGGGTCGACTCAGCTTCAAATGAGTACCTGGTACGGTGTATAAACAGCGCCGCTTGGGAGACAAATGCGTCCGGGCGTGGTGCTGGCCACCCACCCCCTCGTGTACCGTGCCGGCATTCATAGGTGCTCGCTATCAACACTTCACTTGCCCCAACAGTCTGTTCAGGCTATACAGAAAAATCTTTGTCTTCGACATGGTAGGAGCAGCGGTGGGGCAGTGGTTAGTGCCCTGCGCTAAGAACCCGGCGACCTCAGTTCGATTCCCGGACATGGATAACATCGGTGTTGAGCGATGCTTGAACCTGAACCAAGTACCTTTCACCACACTGACCAGAACGTGAGGTTTGCCTAAATAGCTCCCATGACCAAAACAGCAGCATGGGGAGGCCTTCATCCAGCAAGGCTGTAAAATGTAATCGGTGAATGATATCTGAAATAGCCATGGCCCTCTTCTGGGTCTGCTCAGCCTTAATTGAATAACTGGTGAGGTGTGCACTGACCATCAGTGCTGGAGAGAGACACAAAGCAGCCTGACTAGCACCATGTGCATCACGTGGGCCCTGATAGGTGCTCGCTGACAGCACCTTCCCCATCAGTGCCACGGTGGCGAGATGTTAACTGCCTCGCCTAGTAGGCAAGGAGCTCGTGGGTTCGATCCCGACCCTGACACCTGCATATTTGGAGTTTGCGTGTTTACCCGTGGTCGCTGGACTTTTCTCAGTGTCCTATCGTGATAGTAACCGTTAACATGAAAGGTGATAACATCCCATCACATGATTAGTGCAGGAACTTGGGTATTTAAATCTACATAATAAGCAGCTGGTGTGTGTGTGTGTGTTCAGAACTCCTCGACCACCCCACAAATGTCAAGCATTAAGAAGTAATGTGACCGCTTATGACGCATTTACGTGAGTGAGGTCGAAATTAATCAAAATTGCTCTTCACCAGGTTGATGTGGCCTACCAGCCCTGGCAATGCTCATCGACTGTACCATTTACCGGTGAGTAGTGAGGGTCGGATGAGTTCACGATTGGTGAGTGGCGTCAGGTCTGATGATGGTCAGGTGAGCTCTGAAGTAAGCACAACCGTCACCTCGTCCGTGAGACGGGCTGCCCGCTCGTCATGCAATGGGCTTCGTTTCGTCGGTGCGATTGGTCCACACGTCTCGGATTTGTGTGTGTGACTCATTGTTGTTATTGTTATTATTGTTATTATTGCAACTCAACGTGAACCCCCCCCCCCCCCCCGTACAAAACGCCGATCACTGAACGGAGATGAGAGGTGGGGCGGTGGAACGTAAACTCTGTGAACAGCAAGCAGCCCGATCTCGGCACGAAATGTGCCCGCCCCCCCCCCAATGAAGGGGGGGACATGAGGTTCACTGCCCAACGTAGGTGGGGACCACTTCAGTTTTCAGTTTCAGTTTTCAGTTTATTTATTTTTGGTATAGCCCTGTGAGCCATTCGGCTGTTGAATCGGGTGCAACCACAACAAAACAAAAACACGAACAAGAAAAACATCTTAAAGTGACTTTGTGTGACTGTGCAAACAGAAAATGCATGAAAAAAAAAACAGCAAAAATATTATATTCTTAGCTCTTTCGGTAAAGTCACGTTGAAAAAATATTCCTGAAAACGGTGCTAATCGGAGGTGTGGCGGAAGGACAAACTAAACGCAAAAAAGTTTCTAAAGAAATAAGTTTTCAATCCAGATTTAAAAGTACGTAGCTCCAGTGGCTTCCTAATATAGGAAGAGCGTTCCAGACGGCTGTACGCATATGAAAGTGCACGACGCAGTGACCGTCTCTGCTCGATGGTTAGTTCAAAGCCGATGCAAGGATGACCGGAGTTGCATGGGAGGAGGAGGGGGTGGTGGATGGACACATGAACGTTTAAATGGGGAAGGGACTCGCGTGAACGCAATAATGAACCCGTTCAGCTCGCTCGCGCGATACGAATCTACTTCTTTCTCCTCGCTCGCCAGCGTTGAAGCGTCGTAAGTAATCACCCGTCTCTCTCGCTCCGTTCGCATCTGTCCATTTAATGGACCTTGACAAAATATCCAGGAGTAATTTATAACCGTCAAAACCCTCGCCAAGATTACTTTTATTTCCCCCCCCCCCCACTTTGGAAGGCCACATTTGGGCTTCGAAATATTCCGCGAGACATTTTTTTTCCCTTTGTTTCTAAAACAAGCGGCCAGTGTTGGAACCACTTAACCGGATTCGAAGGCCGTGACAAAAGTGTAACCAAAAAAAAATGAACTAAAGAAACGTGCATCAGATAACACCGCCATTAAAAATGTTAAAAGTAAAATGGGAGCGACGTTTCGGCCCTTTTTCATGGCGCGTACAATGATTCTACAGTGTGGGCGATGTGAACACTGTTAACGTGCTGTTTCACATTTAGTTCAGAAATTAAAGTTCGCAGGTCAAGAGCAAAACCACACGCACCGTTAGCAAGTAATTTCCGAGTTTAAAAAAAAATGTCCACATTTGCATTCGTCGCTTTAGCATTTGCCCCTCCGAACAAAAAAGAGACGCGCGTTGACTAGGACGAGTTCTGGCGGCGGAAAGCTGTCGCAGTTAACCGAGTGCAACGAGATGCACTCACATGTTTTGCAGGAGGTTGTTGTTCTTGAATGCGCGCTGAGAAATGTACTGCAGGCCGGAATGAATGACTGTCCTGCAAAACAGACGAAGTTTTCACCACGATTAGGACGACACGCAGAGCGGGGGAGCCCGGGAAGCGCGTTCGTCGGCGTTTAGCACGAGAACGGTGATAAAACAAACCACACACACACACTGACAACGACTAGCTTTTACGACACGTTACGTATTTTTAGAAGAGCGCCAGAGAATTAAATTGCATTTACGTTCGCGAGCGGAAAGATGCTGCCGTCCCGTCGCGTCCTGTAGCTCGCACGTGTGGTGGCGCTTAATGCAGCGAGGCCCTCTCTCTTTTTCCAGGCATGGCCATCGCAGCCACCACCAGCCAGCGCACGTCCGACAAGAGTCACGCTCGAAGATGCCCATCACGCACGCACGTTCCTGCACTGCACTGCGCTACGTGTGTGTACATACGAATGTATGATGAACTTCTTTCGCACCATCGTATGTTGCCAAACCGTGCAAATCGGAGGTGCGGCAGGAAGGACGACGAGCTAAACGCAAAAAAGCAGTTCAAGAGAGATTCGTTTTCAATCGAGATGATTTAAAAGTGCAAAGCGCAAGTGGCTTCATGGTATCAGAAGGAAGAGCATTCCAGACGGCCGCAGAAGCGCATCTCAAAGCGCGCGATGCGGTAACCGTCTTTGTACGATGACTAGCCCGAAGCCGCTGCAAACCGATTCCCGCTCACGGCCACCAACAGTGACTATTATCTGAAGCGGTCCTTTGTCCTCCACTACGTCGACTCAGCCTCAAATGAGTTACCTGTTGCAGTGTGTAAACATCGCCACTTGGGGAGACAAAGGCGACCAGGCATGGTGCTGCCCCAACAGTCCATTCAGGCTATACGGGAGAGGGAATCTTTGTCTTTGACTGCGTGAATGCGTGCGTGCGTGCATGCGAGTGGACGCGTAGAAATGTCAACGGCTCAGATTTCCCTTGGTCAGGGAGGCCAAAACATGACTGCCCATCGTTCTCTTAAATGTTATCGTTCACATTTCACTCCGCTGTCTGGTGTGGATGTTTTTGTTAGCGTCGTGGGATGGTATGGATCCGTACGTACTGTGGCATTTGTCTCGGGAAATATATTCAAACTGCGAGATGAAGAATTTAATGAATACTAAATTCGGAACTCTGCTAGGCAGAGCTCCGCATTGCCCTGTGCGTTAGAATATGCCCCCCACCCCCCTCTCCCCGGATGCAGGTATCACAAAACTTCGTCTGACATCCCTTTTTTTATCTACACATGTGCCACGTGTGGAGGAAGCCATGGGGGAGGCGGGGGAGGCGGGGGGGGTTGTTTTTGAGCACTCATTTGTGACTGAGGCCAAAAATTCACTCCACTTGGCAATCCGATTTAATCACAGGTGGTTAGAGTCCGAATTGGAATCCAGGATCCCATCGGTTTCGGTTCATCAGCTCTGCGACCCCAAAGTCACCCAGCCACATCTTGTACTACAGCATCTCACTACGCTCCTTAATTAACACACCGAGAAAAAACATATAAATATTGCCATTAACATGTAGGGAAACATTTTGTTATTTTCCCAATGACCACGTCACTCAAAATACGCCTGATCTCATCAGTTCTTAGAAGCTAAGCAGGATTTGTTTGCATGCATAGTTCTTGGAAGGTCGACCACCGTGCAAAACAGGTGTTATAGGATGGGAGGAGTCGGGGGGGCTTATGTGGTAGGCAGCAGAGGATCATGCTCCCCTGCCTTGACCAATCTCCGCTGACCAGAATGGTGAAGTATGGTCAAACAACCCCGCTCCCATGACCCACGGCACGATCAAGCCCACATCCAGCAGCGAAGTGAGAAATGGGTCCGTTACGTGCGTGTGTGTGTGTGTGTATGACATTTCTTGTGAGTGCTCGCTAGATTTTAATTCATCATGCCACTAAACAAACAACAAACAAAATCATGCCAGGATTAACATTTCTGCAGCTACCGTATCCGTAACCCATCAAAGAAATATCCTATTTATCAAGCGCGCTCTAAATTGCTGCGAATGAAATGGCAATACATTTCCAATCACGGGTGGGGGGGGGGGGGGTGAGCGTGCTTCAGAGAAAAATATCAAAATCATGCGGGAACATTTTCTAAAGTATTACCGGAGCTCTCACGGCGGTTCCAAATTCCTCCTAAATAACCCAATTCCAAGCGGCTGACATCGCGATAATGAGATGTTTTGATATTGATGCTTTATAAAATGTTCACGTGGGCTGTCACCTTGAGTTTTCAGCATCGATTTCCGAGCCTTAAATTTGCCATTTTGACCTATGATTCCTGCATAACAGACTCACCGTCATGAAGAAGGAAAAACATTTATACAGTACTCCCATTTGGTCGAGGATTTTAGAAAAAATGTTACACACACACACGTGCACACGTACAGCACATTCATTCGCACGTACAGCACACATTCAGCACACACAGATACAGCACACACAGATACAGCACACAGATACAGCGCGCATGGATACAGCACGCACACATACAGCACACACACACAGTTATAGCACACACACACATACAGCACACAGATACAGCACACAGATACAGCACGCACAGATACAGCACACACATACAGCACGCACACAGTTATAGCACACACACAGACAGATACAGCACACACAGATACAGGACACAGATACAGCACGCATGGATACAGCACGCACAGATACAGCACACACAGATACAGGACACAGATACAGCACGCATGGATACAGCAGACACAGATACAGCACACACAGATACAGGACACAGATACAGCACGCATGGATACAGCACGCACAGATACAGCACACACAGATACAGCACACACAGATACAGCACACACACAGTTATAGCACACACACACATACAGCACACAGATACAGCACGCACAGATATAGCACACATATATAGCATGCACACAGTTATAGCACACACACATATACAGCACACACAGATACAGCACACACACACATACAGCACACACACATACAGCACACACATACAGCACACACACATACAACACACAAATACAGCACGCACAGATACAGTACACACAGATACAGCACACACAGATACAGCAAACACAAATACAGCACACACAGATACAGCACACACAGATACATCACACACACATACAACACACACAGCAACACACACACATATAGCACAACAACCGCCATACGCCACTAAGTGGCGGTGACGTCAACACGACGCTTGTGCCAGGCCATGTGCACCTTGAGGCCACGTGAAGTGTCGAACTCCCGCGAGCAGGAGGTCACGGGGCAGACCCAGGTGCCACGGGTCGACTGACTGAGATGGCTGGCTGATGCACCACCTGTGCCCCCTACTGTGCCAACCTGCTGTGCTTTAGCCACCCCGCGCTCCGCTCGTTGTTTTGAGCGTCGCTCCTCTGCCCTCCGTTGTTGTTGGAGGGCGACTGCCTCCAACTGCCCATAGCGTCCTTCACGAGCCTCCTTCACAGAGGCCGATCTTGACACCACTGGTACCAGTCATCGGCAAGTCCACTCAGCTCCACGTCCTCCTGTATCACATCACTCCATCTCTTCTCTAGCCCATGCCGCGCCCGTTTAGCCCCCTCGATCCAGCCGAACAAAAGCTGTTTCGGCATGCGGTGGCTGGGCATGCGGGCTACATGACCCAGCCAACGCAGCCTTGCCTGCCGGAGGAGCTCACCGATGGGACCTTGCCCAGATCTTTCAAGGATTTGTGACCTCCTCACACAATCCAGCCTGGTTAAACCCAGGATGGATCGTAGGCAGGCTAGCCTAAATGTTTCTAACCGGCAAAGATGTTCCATTAAGGGGGTCCACGTTTCGCAAGCGTAGAGAAGGGAGGAAATGACCGTGGCCGAGAAGACCTGAAGCTTAGTGCGGAGCGACAGACCAGGTAGCTTCCACACAGCGTTACGCAACCGATTAAAATATATTACCACTCTACTGATTCGGAGTGAGTCCTCTGCTGTTAAACTGGAGCCGGTCATAAGCACACTGCCCAGGTATGGGAAACTCTCGACTCTCTCCACAACTGCCCCATCACCGATTGGGAGTTGTGGGGGTGGAGTGTCCAATGGTACAAAATACCCAGGCAGGTGCTTAGTTTTGGTGGGGCTGATGGTAAGGCCACATCTCTTAGTGGCACGCTCCAGTCTCAGCAGAAGCGTCTCCAACTCCTCTGAATGAGCAGCTATTACCAAATCATCGGCATACATAACATGGTTGAGCAATAGGGAGCCATCCCTTGACCGCACCCGGGCATCGACAGCCTCCCATTATATCTGTACCAAATGGAGATTCCCCCGGTACAGCTATTGAAGGCTTCACGAACTACGTGGTCAAAATAGATGTTAAATAATGTGGGAGCCAGAAGACATCCCTGTCGCACCCCAAGGTGTACAGGGAATGGCTCTGGCTCCCGGCCACGTAGTTTTACCCGGGCCCGCTCACCATCATGAAGGTCCTTAATGATCGTGAGCAGGGGGTCAGGGACTCCAAAAGCACGAAGAACAACCCAGAGCCCAGGCCTACTGATGGTATCATAGGCCTTGACCAGGTCAATAAAGCAGTGATGTAGTTCTTGTTGGAATTCCCTACACCTCTGCTGTAGCAGACGGACAGAAAATATGGCATCTGTGCAGGACCGCCCTTTCCTGAAACCGCATTGGGGCTCCGCAAGCCTCTCCTCAGCGTGCCTGGCAAGGCGATGTTGAATAATCCTTGCCAGGACCTTTCCCGGCACATACAGCACACACACACATACAGCAACACACACAGAGATGCAACACACAGATACAGCACACAACCTGAGAGAGACCCTCCGGAGGGCGTTTGGCCTACTCTTCCATGCTGACCAAAAAGTCTTTGGAGTAGGTGGGAGTGATTACCAACACATGACTGCAGCCGCACGCTCGGCTCACCATGACGCTGCGGCGACAGCTGCATCCTAACAAGAGGCTGGCGAACAGATCTGCTCAATGTAAATTAAGGTGTCACGGGTCTCAGGAGGGAAGAAGGTCGATGGCTAAGAAGTCCGCTGAGTGTGCGGACGTTGAACTTCTCTGACACCGTACGGAGCCGACCGTGCTCGTCGGAGGTGCGGGCGGTACCCGGTGCGGTCTATTAACGCAGTTCTAAGGAAACGAGTTTTCAATGTGGACGGTGTCAAAGTTGCATCGCCTTCAGTGGCTTCCTAATATCGGAAGAGCGTTCCAGACGGCCGCAGAAGCGCGTCCGACGAGCGCGATTGCGTCGATTGTCATTGTTCGATGACCAGCCAAAAGCCGCTACGAACCGATTCCCGCTCACGGCCAACACCAGTGACGATTATCTGATCAGGACCTGGGCCTCCCCTAGGTCGACTCAGCCTCAAATGAGTACCTGGGGCAGTCTATAAACATCGCCTTTAGAGAGATAAAGGCGGCCTGGCGTGGTGCTGGCCACCCATGCCGGCCTTCATAGGTGATACTCGCTAACAATACTCGCCCCAACAGTCTGTTAAGGCTGTACAGGTGGGGCAGCGGTTTGTGCCCTGCGCGTTCCAGACGGCCGCTGCTGCCGCTGCGAGGATGACCGGAATTCACGTGATGGTTTAAGGCTCTTGCGAGGAATCAAGTTCGCATTAACCACACGGCACTTGTGGTGAACATGCAAAACAAACACGCTCTGATCATTTTTGATGCATTGTCTTTGAAACGAATTGGCCTACACCAGACAGCCTTTTCGTATGGCCTAGTCTCACCAGTGTCAGAGCAGAGAACGCCAAAAAGGCGACCAGTACAAAGACAATGCACCTATCAGAGCATCTATAGCTCAGGGTGATCAGCTATATCATTGGACCTTTTTTGCCAGTATCAAATTATGAAACATAAGATAGCTGTTAGCCTATCTGGCAATAAAACAGCAGTAGTGTTAAGATGTTCAAACACCAAACGGGAACCATTTGCAAGGAATCCTGTCTGCATTAACCACACGTACATGTGGTGAACATGCAAACAAAAACATGCTCTGATAATGTAATATATGGCATTGTTTTTTTACTGATTGACCTACACCAGATACAGCCTTCGTTAGGGCCTAGTCTCAACCAGTGTCAGACCAGAGAACGCCAACAGGCGAACGGTGCGAGGGCAATGCCACTATCAGGGCACTTATAGCTCTGGGTGATCAGCGAGGTTATTTGTGGTTCATCTGTGGTCAGCACCGAGCCACGTGCACACGGCTCTCGCACTCACAGGTTTTGGAGGTTGATGTAGTACTCGGCATCGATGTCGTTGATGCTCTGGAGAGACGTCACTTGCTTTTCAATCAATCTGCAGGAAGAAATGGGACACCGCGCACCGCCAGACGTGTCATTGCCACCTCGGCCGGGGGGAACCACTTGTGGCCGAGTACAAACTCCGCGCACCGCACACTCTTGGCCAAACATGTTGAACGATGTTTGATTTTTCTTGTTTCTTCTATATATCGAATATGTAACCACCACAACCGCGACCACCACCACCACCACCACCGACTTTCTCGAATGTAATATCGGCAAAAGTAACGCAGCCCTTTGCGTTAAGTCTTGCCGTCCTTCCCCCGCACCTCCCGATTAGCACGCTTGGCTTCGTACGGTGCGGAAGAAGTCCAACATACATGCATACAGCATACATGCTTAAAACATAGTACACTAATCTAGTGACAGGCTTAAGGACATTCTGCTGCATAGGCAGCTGCTGTTCGTACAGCCTCGCAGCTGCTGTGCACAGATGTGTACCCTCGGTGCTCTCGTAACTGTATCGTCGTCATCAGCCATCATCTATCTACTGCTGGATGAAGCCCCCTCGATCCAAACCCCCCCAACCGCAAGTCGTCACCATATCTCACGATATTCCAATGATCCAGAAAACAATCTCGCCACCACCCCACGCCCCCACCCCACCCCACGCCCCCACCCCAACTCCACGCCCCCCCACCCCACGTCCCCCCCACTCCACGCCCCCCCCCCACCACTCCACGCCCCTCCCATTCCAGGTTCCCCCCACTCCACGCCCCCCCCCACCACCCCACGTCCCACCCCCCACCACACGCCCACTCCCCCACCCCCGCTTTGCAGTCCGTACGGAACTCGAATATTTCAAGTTGTCGCTGGTGGCTTGAAGTGGCAAAATTAAAACATTTTGTTGGCTAATCGCATCGCAAAGGGGGCCCGTCACGTAGGCAGCCCTCTGTACAACGTTGAGGCTGCACGGCTGCTCCGGCGACATGCACTGTTTCTTAAAACGTAAACGCACGTTCATCACTCGCAAAGAAATCAAATGAATCGTACCCACGTCAGCGACCAACAAAAGAAAACAGTCCTGCAGACTTGAGCACTTTGGAAAGATATACATGTATATACACTCATATACTGGGTGCATGATTACTTACTGCGCAGATTATTAAAATGTGATCACCCACACACATTGGCCCAGTAAAAATTGGGTCAGTTTGTGCACATTTTCTAAAATATGTATGCCCGTACAAACGTGCTCATTTTTGCAAGTGTGTATGTTAACTGTTTTTTTTATGATGCGCATAACTGCATGCAACTTTTTGCAACTGGCTTTATTCATCCATCAACCTATCATCCACTTTGGCCGTTGTCTATCCACTGCCGGATGAAGACCTCCCTGAGCCGTCACCGTCCACCGTGGCCTTGCGGTGCCACGATCCATCATCTTCCATCCAGGGACTCAGCAGCTCGTCTCATCACTTCCAACCTTCGCGGCTATCATCTTCTCAAGCGCATTCCCTCCTTTGGCTGCCATTCTCCCACCAGTCTCGTCCAGCGGCCTTCAGCCTTTCGCACCACATGGGACCTGCCCGAGACCCAATATCGCAGCAAATAATGCGCTTTGAGTTCCTTTCATACGTTGATACAATTAGTCTGTCGCCAGAAAGTTTTGAGACCTGCGTACACTTGAACTTTTTTTCGCACCGCACGTGGCCAGTCACGCCCATCGGAGGTGCCCGAGGGGGGAAGGAGATGATACTTTTCCCTCGTACGTTCGTGGCCTTAACATCGCCAAATCGTATTGACTGGAAACGTCTTCTCACTTAACCTTGGCGTGGGTAACTCTGGCGAGAGTTGCGACTCCCTTGCTTAACTCGCGTCTGGAATATATTTGGACCACTCTCTGCAACAACAAGCGTAACAGTTCCACCCTTGCGAATGGGTTTTCATCACTTCTCAATGTGTTTTATTTAGGCCTTGGTTTGTCACGGCTTGGACGACTGCATCAATTTCACTGAATCGAATGTCTTTTTCATACCCTACAAAGGCTGTGGCAATAATGGTATTTGATATTCATTAGGGTTTTTTTTTCTTTGCCAGAATTCGGCTTTTTCTTACGGTTGCTTGCGCTGTAAATTTTTCATTATCGCGTTCACAGTGGTCTTCGGGAACAATTTATATTCGTGTGATAAGAGTCTAATGAGTTTATATCTCATGGTTTTTTTTTTTAAATACAAGAATGATTGAGGCATCATTGCATCGTTGCACTATTTCATTTCAGTATAAACAAATCGGTCTGATAATTGCATTGCAACAGCTGGTCCTGCCTTTGTTTGACGACGGCCACAGTTATTAATCTGGTCTGGGAACTTTTCACTTGTGTTCATGCTGCGAAGGACTCTTTACTTTTTCAAGTGTGACATTCAGAACATCATCATCCTTATCTGAGAAGTAATCTGTCTCCTGTGCTATTTGAATATTTTGCTATCGAGATTTGCATACATTTCCTCCACGAGTTTAATAATTCTGTCATGCTTTATGCTTGAATCTTGCCCGATTGGGTGACCAGTTGTGATGTTTCAATCACAAACATAACGTCCCACTGCTTTTATTATGCACCCATTTTTTTTTTATTTTGACATCGTCTGTCACTTTGTTCGCCGTGTTCCTACGATGTCCACGCTCATTCTCCCCCCTCCTGATGGCGTTACAGAGTTCCGTGTGTTCTATCATTCGCTTGGCATTTTCGTCAATGTTATCGTACGTCCCCCACGTTTCTTCATCAGCCTAACTAGCCCCATGTTCCGTTTTATTGTTTCAACGTCACCGTTCGCCGCCCGCTTCGTCGGTTTGTTTCTCAAGGCACTTTAGACCTGCTGCTTAGGATCGGCCTAAATTATTCCACCATGCCGGCTGAAGAATTGACCCGCGATGTTCGCGGTTTCGTTTCTGTAATTAGCGCTGTTCCTTCCCCTTCTTTTAAGTCATCAAGGTTTCGCTGCGAGGAAACGTATAAGTAAATTAACGGGTAAGCTAAAGTTATTATTTTATTCATAAAACAGGAACATTATTTTTTTTGTCACACTGAGAGAAAAAAAGAATACACAATATTGTCTGACTGACCTTACTCATGATGTAGGGCTATTGCCAGAAATGTCACCGACTATACATATATTTTGTAAGGCAACACTTATAATGAGTGTGTTGGGTTTGTTGTTGTTGTTGTTGTTAGAAACTGCGTTTGGGAACCACTGCCAGTACAGCAGCAACGGCAGCATCCCCAAATAAATTGTTTAGGAAATGTTTGAGGTTCACAGAAAGTAGGTCCAAAATAATCTCGGTTGGCCAAGTTGGGGAATTGGGTGAATGATATCGTATGGAGAAATAGCAACGTTCGGTGGTAGGATGTTAGGCTTTGGTATCAAGCCATTAGCTTTTGGGAGATGGGAATTTAATTTTAGAGATGTCTCAAGGAAACCGGTAGCAGAGGACTGAGTATCTAAAGACTATTAAACTATTTTTTTTATTTTGTTTTACCAGGTAAGGGCCTACTCAGGCTATATACTGGAGCTATTAAATCAGACCTGGCTATCACAAATGACAGCTCAACGAAATGGCTTATTGTAATGTGGATGCCACGGTGGCTAGGAGATGTTAATTACATCCTCTGGTATACAGGAGGTCGTGGGTTCGATCCCTACCCTGACACCTGCTGCATATTTGGAGATTGCGTTTCTCCCTCTCTCTCCCTTTGGCCGCGTGGATTTAGAGTCAACGTGCGTTTATTGTATATATGTATTTGGCTGCTGCGATACATTTCCACATGACGATAAGGCATTTCGTTGAGCTATCATTCGTAATAGCCAGGTCGCTTCTGAAAAAAGAGCTACAGATCCTCAGTGGGCCCTTACCTGTTAAAATAAAAAAAAACAATTTAATCGTTTTTAGATGCTCCGTCGTTTCAAGTAGATCCCCCTTCCACCACACTCATTCGAACTGTCACACGTGAAGTATACACGATGGCAAACCACCGTCTAGGACACAAAGCTGCTGCTACGCGGGCAAAAACAACAAGTCGTTCATTCTCGTAAGCAAACTCTACAGAGAGCTTAGCGCAGCTTAGCCCGTTAAAAAAAAAATCGTTCAATAAAATTAACCAAGGTGACTGTTGTAAACAAACCGTGCGCAGATTAACGATGCCAGCTTAAACAATAATATTCAATCAGACAGACTCGTCTAGCAAACATGTATTCCACTTAATACTGTGTAGTGTGTGCAAAGTAGGGTGTTAATAAAGTTCCGCTTGCAGTGTTTACCGTTTGCCATGAAGGACTGGAGCCTAGCCCTACAGGGAGATGGAGCGATGAAATGAGGTCGTGTGCAGGTGATAGGAGGATTTATTGTGATCTTTGAGGCCTTCATCCAGCAGTGGATTGACCATGGCTGCTGCTGCTGATTATGACGATGATAAATTGGCATCGTGGAAAACGTTATCCTCTTTCAAATTAGTGGGTATTTTTCATCGTAATGATGGCAGCTTGGGAAGGCCTTCACCCAGCAGTGGATCGACCATGGCTTACGATTAAATTAAATTGTTAAATTGTTTTTTTTAGCTCTGCATTCATGTCGCCCAAGAACCTCATAAGTATTCCAACTTGGCCATATATTACATCACAGAGCGATCAATGCTTGTGGCTGAGTGTGTGTCTCAAAACAACCCCCTACCTCCTCGCGGTGCCGGACGGGCAACTCTGTCGTGGACAGTGCTGTGGGGGGAGGGCCAATTCCGATTGGCTCCTCCCCTCATGGCGTCTGTGACCACCACAGGGACTAAACGGGGGCTCTGGATGGGTGCGAGGGGCTGGTAACCCCTCCACCTTCAAAAAATTAGCACGAAACTACGACTTAAATATGTAACTAATAAGCTTGTGCCGGAGGCCCCGGGGGGACAGGCGTCTATGACGTCTCCTGGCCAAACCCCAATTGGCGGAGCAAGGAGATTGAATCTCTACCCTCGGGGCTCCTCCAGAAACAACGAAAAGCCACTTCGTTTGG